GACCGCGTCCCCCGCCCGCTGCTCGGAGCAGCGGCTCATGGGCGCGCCGGGCACCTCCGCGAGCTCCGGCCCGAGGAAGGACCAGGGCGCCGCGGCGAGGGCGGAGCTCGCATGAGCCGCCGGGGCCAGGAAGGTGTCGAGGACGCTGTCCAGGGAGTCCTTATCCGAGAGGGAGCCGCTGCCCGGACGGTACGGGAGGGACTCGCGCTCCTCTCCCCCCGGCGGCTCTTCCTCCTCGTCCTCCTCGTCCTCCTCCTCGTCGCTGCTCTTGGGGTAGAGCAACCCGTCCAGGGAGATGTCGGCGGCCTCTGCCTCCCTGCGGAATGGGTCACGGCCGGGGTGGCCCTGCAGCAGGACCGCCCCGTCCCTGGCAGACGGAGGCGCTCCGGGGTCCTTCGCCTTCACCTCGGTCATGCTGGCCCCGCGCTGCCGCGCCCGGGCTGCTCCTCACATCCTGGACGTGCCCCGCGCCGACGGCTGCGCCTCCCGCTCACATGGCGCGGGCGCTGCCTTCGCAGGGGGCGGCTCGTGCCGAGCAGCAGCGCCCGTGCGAGGGGCCGGAGCGGCGGCGGGAGCGGAGCCGGCAGCCCCRGCGCCTCCTCCGGCAGAGCCGCGTTTGCGGCGCGGCCCCCGCGCGGCGCCGAGGGGCTCCCGCGCTCACCACGCCCCCGCCCGCCCCGCGCCCCGCCGCGCCCCGGGCCGATGGAGCCTTCTAAGGTTTTCCTATAATTATTTTTGTCAGGATGAATAAGAAGAGGGCCTGCTTTCCAGAACCTCTCCAGCTACTGTGAAAGTAACAAGTTAGAATCCGGCCCAAGTTGGTCCCAACCAATAAGTTGTGACCTGCTGATAGCCGGCTGGTATTTTGTGTGAAAAAGTGGCTTCATAGTAAAAATCATTCTGTTCAATAGGATGTATATTTATTGTGTCAGACCGATTAATGTAATTTGCCTTAAATAGAACTGCCAGAAAATAAACCTTGAAAACTATAAAAGATGCTATGGATAAGTTGCCAAGAGCTGGTCCTTGTGATCTTGAGTAGAACTGGATATCCTGGATTCATGCAGAAGTGTAATAGAACACAGTTTTCAGAAAAGACATCCTTTTCAAATGCTCTGATCACTGCAAGATAGTCCTCTCCCCTCCCCCCTGCTTTCTTTTCTTTTTTTAGTTCATTTTTATTTTCTGCTCAGACCAAAAAGGATAGTGTCTTGTGAAAGTTTGCTTTTTTTTTTTTTTTTTTTTTTTTTTTTTTTTTTTTTTTTTTCTTGTTCTAAATGCTAACAGTAGAAATCATACAGGACACCTGTAAAGAGGCAGTGGTTTCAGTCTAACAAAGTTGAAATTGCAGAGAAAATTGTGGATTAAACTGTAGATGAAAGAGTTGTTTTTCCACAAGTAGAAAACACAGAATAAGTTGACTTCCAAAAACTCAACTGTGAATCAGAGGTTACAAGAATGGACTCAAAAGGTTGTACAATTGTACAATGACAAGATATTAAAAAAAAAAAAAAATCTTCTCTGGCTGAAGAGTTTCTGTTTTTCAGTGTTTGTCCCACTTCCCAAACCTTCCTTTTCTCAGAAGTGACAGAAGTTCATCTCCAGCATCATGGCCATGTTCATCTGAAATTATTTTAATAGACAGTCAGCTAATTGTCATCTCTCCTTATTGCCACTGTCCTTTACTTTTCATTTCCATTTTCCCACATGCATTCAAGGCCTGCCTCATTACAGAAATGTGCTCCAAAGATTGGTCTCCTTATAGTGACTTGGCTCCTTGCTTCAGATCAGAAAGGTAAAGTGCCTCAGATGCAGGAATGCAGGGATGCAGGAAGGTGGARTGTTTTCTGCAAGCCCAACTCACTGACTCTAGTGACTTGACTACTAGAATTTTATACTGAAAAATCCATCTGATTTTAAATATTTGAATATTCACGAAGAACAAAGCAGTTTACTCTTTGCATTATTTAGCTAAATGTTAGCAGTTGGATCTTATGTTCTCTATTGTCATTTCTAATTTAATTTTTATATGCCAAATATATTCAATTGTATAATGTAAAAATTATGCTGAAATTGAATTCTTTAAAGAGAAAGTATTCTGTCTTTTTTATCTTTAGAACATTTATAGGACTGTGATTCACATTGACTTCATGTAATTTCCATAATCTTTTACTTCTAGTAATCTCTTATTGTTCTGTTCATAGCCTTCATTCATTTCCATTGTCATCAGATATTTKCAGATCATTTGGATACTTTCCATGAAATTGCTTTGGTATCACAAATGTTTTTCAATAAGAGCATATAATGGTATGGGCTATCAAATGTATTGACATCATACTATTGCTGTAATTTTGATACTGTAGATTGAAGTTGTCATTAAAGAAAATACATAGATTTTTTATCATTTATTTATTAAAAACTATCTTTATTTCCCAGGATAGTTTGTGTTTTTAAATGCAAATTTTAATTTATAAATTATTAAAGCTTTTTTCATTTTTTTTCTTTCAAAGTTTTCTAAAAGTTTTTGCAAAGAAACAAGTGTTTATGCATCTTGGTAGTGTTTTTATGAAAGTGGCATAATTTCCAACCTAAGAATGACCTTTCTATATCCAGTACATTTTTGCTAAAAGCAAATAAAATGAATAGATTTTTGCTTCAGAATACTCCTATTTCAGATCAAACTGTAAAATTTATTAAAGAGTTTGATTGACACTATTGTAGTCAATTGAAGTGAAAACCTGAAAATGTAGTATTTGGGAGCTCAGGTTATTTTTTTTTAAGTTTTTTTACTAGCCCTGTTAAAAACTATGGAAATAATAAAAGCTGCACTTAACATCATTCCTCAACTGCCTTGCTTTGCAGCACAATTCCTGTGTAAAATCTAAGTACAATAATATAATTGTACTGACAACTGTCATCATTATAATGCTGTAAGGTTGCATTATTTTTTTAAAAAACAGCTCCAGAGCATTTGTTTGAACACTCAACTTAGTATTTTTAAGCTCTAAAAATTTTTCATGGAACCTCCAAGATATTTAAAATAATGTTGATTTAAAAAAGAGCTTAGAAGATAAAAAAATACGGTCATTGAAGTAAGTTAGTGTCTGAAAACTTTATTTTCCTCAATGTTGTGATACAGAATCACAGAATGGTAGAAGTCAGAAGGGATGTCTGTGGATCGTCTAGTCCAATCCCCTGCTCCAGCAGGGACACCTACAGCAGCCAGGYGGGTTTTGAAGAGAAGAGGCTCCACAGCCTTGCTGGGCAGCCTCTTCCAGGATTCTGTCACTCTCACAGGAAAGAARTTCTTCATCATATTCAGATGGCCACCAATGAAAAGAGTCTGAGCCCATCCTCTTGGCTGACTCCCTTAAGGTATTTATGCACATTAGTAAGACTACCTCTCTTTAGGCTTAACAGGCCCAGCTCTCTCAGCCTCTCCTCATAGGACAGACATTATTGTCCCCTCATCATTTTTATAGCTCTACACTGGACTGTCATCATTAGCTCCACGTCCCTCTTGTACTGGAGAACCCGGCACTGGACACAGCACTGCTGGTGCGGCCTCACCAGGGCTGAGCACGGGAAGGATCATCCCTCAACCTGGTGGCAACACACTTCCTAATGCAAAAAGATTCTGTCATTCTGTAATAGCTCCACAACTGCATTTTGCAATTTCTGCTGCTCATTAACTCTCATTTTCAACATTTAGTATAAGATAAACACCAATAACATACATTCCCAATATGTTACGCTGGAGATGTGTACTTCTACTGTTCTATAAATACTTAGAGCCTTAGACTGCTAAATTCCAGTTTAAGTGGGATGCTGCCRGCAGACTTTAAATATGCATTTATTAGAGATTATGATTTTTAATAAGAGCTAAGTCATGGAAGCATTTAATATCAGGGATATGATCTGATCGCAAATGTTCACATCTGGGACAGGTGATTAGCCTTGTGCAGTCAGATAAGAGTCAGAGCCAGCAGTGGAGCACACTAACTCCACCAGTTCATCTTATGGAGCTCTTCAGAGGCTCTGACCTCTTTCTYTTAAGCTACAAAAGACTTCTGTGATCTGAAGCACTCTGCAACCTAGTTCTTTGGCAATGCAATATCCAAGATTGATACCTAAAGTAAGAGGTCTGAATTTAGTCCTAAATCCTTAAAATGCGATACCAGTGTATTTTACTATAATGGCTCATATTCTGCAAGAGTCGTTCTAGAAAGCATGCACTGTAAACATACTGTCCCTTCCTCCRAGCATGGGATTACCACAATATAGTTAATCTCTGTGGTCTGTAATCAGCTGTTTTGCTAGTTTAAGATTTATAAACTATTAAGATTTATAAACTATCAAAGCTGTTGGCTTATTAAATAAAATGGTGGCCTGTAACAAACACAAAGGCAAAGGGATCTGTAAACAGCACAGTATTAAGCAAAGGAAGTAAACAATAGATTTATAAAAGGAGATGAGGAAAAGAAAGCAAATCGCAGGAAACATTTCTCTATTTTTTGAACTGAAGTTGCCACAGGGATACTATTGGTACTGGAGGTGAAATGACTTTGGAGACATTTTGTCTTTATAAATTGTTGAAAGGTGGGAGAATAGATGTGCATAGAGTTATATTCATGAAAGCGATAGCTGCTTCTGGGACAAAAGTCACATAATTAATTTTATTTAGTTTTATTTGTCTGTTTATACTTTGGCAAATTCAGACTTAACTGCAGTGCATAATATGCCTGAGCTGAGAAAATAAGCAGGAGCAAGAGATGATGAAAGAGAAGAGAGATACCTTCTGATTTTATGCTCTGCAGAGAGCATAACTGTTTGCTGGATGACATCCTCATCCTCATTCTCAAACATCTTATCCTCTGATTTCTATGAATTCATCATCTTGGGATGTTGCAGGGCATGTGTTATGTATCTCTTAAAGCCTACCAAAACCATTTACTCAAAGCCTCAAAGAGGCTTGCTTCATGAAAAAAAGATAAAAAGGACATATACCATTCTCACTTACTGGTTTATGTAAAATATGGTTGTCTATACTATATGTGAAATACATATTTCAACATTTAAAGCAGTCACATACAGACAGTTGAACCCCATGGTGCTAAGTGGAACAAGGTAGCTCATCCGAGACTAACATTTTTGTGATACTTAAATACAGTAGCATTTTATTTACAGGAGGAAGCTGTAACCAGAAATACCAGACCATTATTGGCATTTCTGAAAGTCAGTAGGTATTCAGAAGTATTAAATATCTTACTTAGGTTCTGAGTCATAAGTAATCATAGGAAAGGAGATAAAAATCTGGATAGAACCTCGGGAAATTCTGAGTATGTGAGTAAATGCAACACAAAGATAAACAAGAATTAAACCCAAACCCATTATGGCAGTCATGTGCTTAGCGGCTTATAAATT